TCCATTGAAGTCAGTCAGTGATAGTAAAAGTAGATATTATTGAATCTAATTGGGCAATTAGTAAAAAAAATCCGCCTATCCGTTTAGGATAAAGAACAATATGTCAGTGAGTAGTAATAAATCACAAACAAGATTGTTAATACTTAGAATTTTTTTCTTCTCATCAAAACTTAAATCGATTAAACCGCCGTGTAATATATTTATAGTGATGACAAATAGATAGACACACACCGAACCAACCAAGACTATAAAAGCAAACACAGAATTTCTGAAACGACCTTGGTCGCCGCAATGTTTAATTTATTATAAACAACATTTTTTCTTACAACTATTTTAATTGTTTTACGACTTTTTCATCGTGATCATATTTCTATGTCGACAAAAATAATGTAATTTTATTCGAATTCATTAAAATAAACGTTTTTTATAACAAAAATATGTGGAAAATAATATTATACTCAAGACGACCATATCACTCGGTCGGATATTAATAATTTTACTATACCAATAACCTTTAAACAACTAGAAAAACTTCTAAAAATGTAATTTAACCAAAACACTTAACGATTTCATAGAACTTCAACAACTATAGGCTCGACGGGAAAACATAACACACGATGTGAAATTTTAACAAACAAAAACAACAAAATATATTACACATAATTGTTCATAAGTCACAATATACGTCTCCGTTACAATTTTCAAAGAACGTTTTTTTTTACAATTTCATGTTTCCTCCGTGCGAGTTGTTTACTGATAAGCTGAAAAATAAGCGACCAAATAGGTTGAAGTGAACAACGTTAGGTCACGTTTTCAATTAAACTGTGTTTGTTCGAATGCAACGGTGCGAAACGCCTGCGGACGACGCGCAAACTCAATATGTAGGTGCAAGCAATTGCATTTGACTTTGTCTCCGTTACCCTCCCCCCCCAGACTACGTTCCCCTAAACACGTCCTGCTACTAAACGTTAACACTGCATTAATCGATGTGCCGGTACCCGTTGCAGATATTTTTATGTCATAAAAAATAAAATTAAGTCGCCAACACATCATAATGTAAATGAAAATAACGTGCGCGTTTAACCTCGCGCCACCGGTAGCCGCCGCCCGAATAACTGTCACCCCCAGCTCGAGCAGCGTACAAAAGAGTGAAATAAATTATAAGGCACACACAATTCATGTTTTTTAAGCAGGATGCACGAATTCTTATAAGCGGTTAGAATAGCTAAAAGAGATACACTAATCCTGTTTGGTTGTTTACTGCGTGTGGTGTCACCCGGTACGTTTCCTTTTTACATTTATATTTGTCTCGCTCGATTGTACCCATAAAAGGGGTAGTGGTGGAGGTGGTAGAAAGAGTCGTCAAACGAGTCGATGCCGAAGGGAGAATGTAATATTTCAACGTTGACGCTATTATTGTAATGATAAACCAGAAAGGAAACTTTTTTTTCTTTGTAAAAAAAAAAAACCTTTTTTACTTTTAGAAAAAATAACTTTTTTCATTACTTTTACTGCGCTATTGAAAACGGCTTTTCGATTAAGTCGCGAGTACAAGGGTCGGACGAATCTAGTGAATCTTTAATAACGTTTTCGCCACCCGACCTGTCGCCCGCAAACTTCAGGCACCCGTTTGATCAACGGCACGGGGTACTACCAGAAACGTGGGTTAGTGTTTTGCACAAGAGGGGAAATGTTAATCCATTTGCTGTGACGCGTGCAATAGTCGAACACAGCGATAACGCACTGAATGATCGACACCGCCCAAAATAATCTTATAGCAATTCAAGAAAATATCTTCACGGGTGGTAAGGGATTTCTCCGCTGTACGTGTGTATGTTTAGGATTTGTGTGTTCCGTTAGCAACATAAACGTGTGCACGGACATCCGGTCCGATACGTTTGGTCCTCCAAAATGATTATATTATGTTTGTACGGGATCTTCTAATGATCCCTTCGATGGTGGATTTCAATTGTCACTAACAAATGGAATTTGTCATTTTACACGGCCCGACCACTACACTGGGCTAAACCAGACCTCAAGTTGTGCATATGTAAACAAATTATTAAAAAAAAAAAAAATTGAAAAAATCACGTTTTCCGACTTATGAATGGCGTTTATGACAATAACGGTGTGATATTTGTCCATTGGCTCAGACCGACCGGCGATGTAGTTCATAGAAAACACTTTGCCGGCGTTTCTATATAATTTTGCGTCGTATGTGTTTTGTTAACAAAAATTATTTACTCGTGTGTTAATGGCACACCCTTGTACACTACAGTATTACGTGGCTTATAATACAACATGTATATAAGCTCAAGTTTAATGTGCACCTGTGTATGAGTAAGTGCTGCTGCGTGATGTACAGTTATACTCGACCTGTGCTTTTATTCAATGGTTTTATTCCAAGCCACTCTACATTGTTTGTGTTTGTAAAAAGCTTGTAGAGTAAATTTTATGGGTTATGAGTGTTTCGACTGAGTCCATAAAACGCATTTGATATTATCAAAAATAAATAGGGGAAACAAACAAATACAAAATAATAATCGAAAAATGTTTCGATTACCACCTATGTGTACCCATTATCCCTGCTAGCTAAATGAAGCCACTTAGTTCGGGATACATCAAACCGACCCTCGAAATACAGGTACCTTATTCGCGATTTCCATCGATGAGGGTGCAGAAATGTCTGCAGGTAAAAGAAGTCACGCTACAATGATCCCGTGACAATAATCACAGGTTCTTGACGTGTGGTAAAAGGTCCTGAAATAAGTATTACTGCGTCAAGTAGCCTATGGCATTTCATATACTAGTCGCTCTAATGGATACTAAAGAAAATAATACACGATAGTCTTAGTTTAGGTACAGAGTATACAATCACGTTTTTAAACGTTCATATTCTTCAGTTTGACATTTAAAAAAACCGTTTGAAAATTACTCTCTTATACTATAATTTTATTTTTTTTTGGAAAAAAATTACTCGGAGACTTCCAGTGTTATAATTTTTATGACACCTCGAAATTGTCTAATAGTCATGTTATATAACAACCATTAAATCTAAACAACAAAAAGTCAAATTACGTTATTGTACTCGTTTAGTTGCATGTTTTATGTTAATTGAACTGTAATGAATGAAAAATTAGCCTAACCTTTTGTATGCGATAGCCTGTTAACCGAGGGACTTGGGCGTATCAACAACGAAGACTGACTCTATTCGTTCAACTGACCACTGGAGGACGTGTGTGATACATATCCTGTGTACTTAATAAAATTGGGCACTTATATGTATGCGCTACTACCGTTAAAACTGTCATTGATGGAAATAGCGGCAAACGAGAAAGACTAAGGAGAATTTAAAGAAGTCATAGACAATATAAAAAAAAATGGAAAGCCATATTAAAAAGATCCAGACAACGGTAAGAATAAGTAATAGAGCGGCGCGCAAACCGCATAATGAAGTTAAGTCACGTCCGCAATTCATTAGGCGAAAAATGACGAATACCTTGCACGGGTATACCAGCCAAGTAAAATCAGTTAACTTTCTGCATGTATTACTACCAAATATATGTTACATTGTTCCACGACGATGACCCGGCAGAGAAAATCGGTCAAGTAGTCAGCTACGATAGTTTATCAATTATTGGTTTACTATGCGACACAGTACTAGCACATGATAAAACCTAGCAAACCACAATCGACTGAAGCTATTCTTGAACTTGATTTTCACAGTACACGGGCCACGGACATAATCGAATTTTGATTAGCAAGTTGTAGACAGTACCCACAGCTAGTTATAGTAGTTTCAATAAAATTATTATTGTCGAACGAAAGAGTAGTATAAAACCCTTATAAAGTCCACCCGACATATCAATGGCTATCCGTTTATAGTTATTATAATCGTATACACCATCGAAAATAATATTACTACCTGTACGATTGTATTTGACATTTTTTTAATCTTACATCGATTTTCTATTAAAATATTTTAGGAACAGAAAATATATATTAGAATACTTTACCTGCAATAGAACTACTGAATGAGATAAAAGACAAAACTAAAACCAATACGTTTTCATAGTATTACTAATAATTTATCTATGCGTATGAATTAATAATATTCGACGAATTTAAATTTTGAAAAACTTTAGTCAAATCTACCCAATATTGTTTCCGGCAATAAATCACTAGTGTTATACGGATTTGAATAATTACATCGACAGTAAGTTTTCTAATAATTCTCAATCATCTTCGGATAGCGCACTTATCGATTTCTAAAAAAACTTGTTAAAAAAAATTGAGAGTTAAAAAAAAACCACTTTAGATGCGACCTCAATTATAATTTGAAAAATGAATAGTTTATTAGCCACGTTTATTTTTATTACAAAATTGATATATGCTTTATTATTATAATTTATAATATTACCTAGTAATATTATTTCAATACTATTATTATGTACTCGATAATTTTTCTTTAGTTAACATATACAAGAGTTCCCAGCCTGTTTCTACCGGATGGTTTTAGGTGCAGCCAAAGCAATTAGTTTTTAATTTTTTTTTTTTTGCAAGCGAGACATTGTTTTACACGCCTGTAAAAAGCTTGTTTATCACGTTTGAAACCTACTAATGATGTAATTTTACTTTATGTGTGTTCTTAAACACAGATTAAAGACATTAAAAAAAAATTACGGGTCCATATTCTGGGCAGTTTTTTCATTTATAGAAAATATTGTATAAATTATGTTATACTTAAAAACATTTAAATTATGTCGTACAGTGCTCACTTTATAAAATTTTGAACAAATTTCTCACAAATAACGTTTTGTTGACAACGATTGACCCATTCTCTGAACCATATTGGAATCACCACAAAAATATAACGTTGTTAACAGTTTACAATAAATATATTAACCATTTGATCGTGATGCCGACAACAGCGCCTCCCGACGAGAGCGGCCGGTATCGTCGGTGACTGGTGTTCAGTGTGTACCTGTTCCCCGCCGTAAAGCACTCGACTGCTCAGTTCAGTTTTCTACGTCGCTGGCAAAGCACGTCTCCGTCGCCGTACAGTTTGTCGTGTTCGTCGCGACCTGAAAGCATTGCGTTTGTCTCGTACCTTTGGTTTTTTTGTGTCGTGTTCGGTCGAGTTGACATTAAGATTTAAAATTTTTTTTTGTTACAAAATACCATCGGTCGATATACGGCTTAATGTCTAGTTTGCAGTTCGAGTTTGATCGATAAACTGTTTTTATAATTGTGTTTTGTGCGTGTGATTACACCGTCACTTGGCAACGGACATTGGCTGCCTTTATTTTATCAAAGTATTGAAAGTCTAATAATTAAAAAATAATAATTTAATGGTCGTGCCTTCTGAACCGGGTCGACGATGAAGTCAAATTTTTCTGAAATACCAGTGTCTCGACATTAAATTAGGGATATCCACGAACCCGCCACAAGACTCAAGTCTATACTTTTGAACATTTAAAAAAAAACTGTTTTTGACAATTTTATTATAATATTAAAAAAATGGCTACCGTTTTACGGTTTTTGGCGGCGCTTTGCTGCTTAGCGACCGCTTCGCCGGCCGTTTACCGGTCGGGCGGCTACGATAACGTAGTCATATCAATTAAGGATTCCGTCTCACCAGCCAACTGCAAACACATCATAAACAATATCGAGGTAAGACTCTTATCAATAGTAAATTAGATATACACCCGTATATAGACAATAGGTAATGCATTTTGAGTGAGAAAGCTTTACTCTAGAATATTCGTTTAGATTCTGTTGAATTTTCCTCCGACTTTGGTTAATCTTGAAATAATTTTTTACGAAATGCGATCTTCCGATAGAATTTCTTATAACAGTATGTGTTTAGCCCTTTTTATTTAATTAATACTTAAAATATATTTTTGATTTTAATTGATATTAAAAGTGATCAACTGTTATGATATAATTTATTACCAAGTTGTTGACGTATATTATTATCGATCTGACCGTCTTTCTAAACCGATACGATAATTTTATATTAAAATAGCCAAACGGTAATTGCTGTCAGCCAACAACATATAGTTTGGTTGTATAATAATAATAATACCAACGGAAAAATATTTATGTACCGACGTAAGTAGACCGAATTTTAGGTAAAGCCGGACTGCGATATTTTTACGGTATCCATATTAAAAACGATTATTTTTATTGTTATACATTATGTATGGACATCTAATAGTAAAAAATAATATGAAAATCACCGTCATACGACGTTGCAGGCTCGTTGGTTTTTTGCAAGAATTTTCGCTTTCACTGCAATATGCCGCGCGTCCATCATCGACTAAGTGTACAAATACAATAAACAACAATCATATAACAGCTGTCATACGAAAACGCTTAGTAGTCGCGCGCTTATACTCTCAACAAGTCAGTTTCCTTTTGGGAAAAAAATCACCACGTGCGGCCGGACGCATTTAAACCGGTCGCGTCCTCTAAAAAGTAGATCGCCAAAACGTTTCTTCTTTCCATTTGTTATTTCTACAGTCGCTTCTTGTCACAAAACATATAGAAAATTATTATTTATTTACACGTGTACCTTGCGAGAGAGTAATATATTATTGAATACACAAGTCCGGAAACTGGTTTCATGTCGAATCGTGGTAACGCTCGGCCTATATTGAGTATCGCGTTGGCTTTTATTGTTTTACGATTGTGATAACAGTAATAATTCACCGGCAAGAAGACGCAATAATGTTGTGTTGTATTAAACATGGGCAGTTCGCTTTTAACTTTCCGGAACGCATAAATAGACACGGCGATCAGTCGTGCGGTCCGTGTACTGTTTGCCGGTCTTACCGACCGACTGGCGACGTTTCCATGAAGTCTTAGATGCGCCATCAATTAATCAGTAGGACTATGATAGGTACCCATGGACCGTTTCACAGCGCTTAGATATGTTAAATCGTTGTTTTTTTTTTATTTTATAAATACCTTACCATAGCCGCAGGTATAAAACCTATTCCGGGTTGGCGACATTGCGATAGCCGACAGTCGACCGAAGATTCATTTTAATAATTACTACGCATTTAATATAAAAATATGTGGATAGCAATATTATTATGATAATTTATTTTGGGACTCGAACCCATCCGTTTGAAAATTATCAAATGTAAATAATTGATTCGATCGAACACTGTGTAATCATCCTAAACTCAAAAAAAAAAAAAAAAAAAACTGGTTTGCATATATTATTATTAGGTGCTTTATTCGGATGATGTGCCGGCAACGAGGTTACCGAACGAAACTTGAACGAGCCGAAAAAAAAGTATACTTCATATATATAATACACCCCTATCTTGTGCATGTTCTTTCATTGAATAATCATACAAATTTCATTTAGAGGAAGACCAATTACTTATTTTTAGAAATACGTCGTAAAAAAAATAATAGTCTCTGTTGTTATTCTAGTTGTAAACAAATTAAATTAGTGATACACATTTTAAGTTTACTTAATTAAAATTTCCAAGCATAAATTAGTTGAGCCTAAACCTAACTTAAGGTGTTTGGTATTTTATGTTCATAAACACCAATAATTTATTAATTTATTCCGACGAGTGAATAATTACTCATCGATAACTATACATAATAATAATTACTAATTATTGTTTTTTGGGCGTACATAAACGAAGACTGAGAATTTGTTGTCATTGCACGTTGCAAACAAACACCGGTAGCCGATCGGGTCCGCCCCGTGAAAGCCGCTAATCGTTGTACGCTGACACCTCTCGGTTCGGGTCGAGTTAGTGTTTTTTTCTTCTCACAGACGGTACTACACTGTACGGGTCGAACGGAAGAAGGTCAAGGGGGAACAAAACCGGTCCGCGAGTTGACCGATAATCACCGGACCATATACAGATATAATAATAATAAATACCAGATGGAATTCGGGATGAACGGCGACGTTTATATTATAACGATTTTCTCGACCGCGGGCTTAGTGTTTATTATTATTATTATTTTTAAACTGTAATTTTTTGAAACCGGAATATATTTTGGTGCGGCCTATCCTCTGTCGGTTCTTCTACTGGTGAGATCAGAAATGTCAGATTTCCGCAAGATTTGACACAGCCAGGATGCGTTTCGGTCCACAGAAACTCCTCGTCGACGCGACATAACCTTGAGGACATCCTCGTCAATGACGGCGTACGTCACAACCTTAATACCAACTCGTACAATTCGATATCCTTTCTTCTTTAGGAAGCGCGCCGCAAAGAGAAAAGCCCGACGATGAGCTCGACAAAACGTATTTTCAGCGTTAATAACAAATATATCCATAAGGCTTCCAAATAACGAACGACGCCCGCGATTTTTTGAGCCGTTGGTCATCATCATTAACCCACACAGGCCGGAGTGACGATGACTTGAACGCCGGTACTGTATACAAACGAAAGTGGCAGTGAAACACACGAGTACCGTCTCTGAGTATTTATTGTATTAATCAAACGGTTTTTATTTTAAACGAGCCAAACAGATTTCTCTCAAGTGTTCCAACAACAATAATAACAATAGTGTTATGCGGCCAACGGGTTTTTAAATACCGTCGCGGCTTGTGCATGTGTAGGATAACCTCCTAACCATATAGTGTTTGCAGTTAGATGATAAATGACGCCGCTAGACCGACGCCGTTAATTAAGTACCCGTCGGCAAAGACGGCCCGAGCAGTTAGCGTTTATTTTTCCACCCATGCCCAGAGTGTTTCGACCAGAGGAAAAACAAAGATGGACTAAAGATGTTTATTCGGACATGTACTCGGTTTGTGAGGCACCTAAAATCATCGAAAGTTGTGCCCACGAGTTTCCCCTCATACGTCACAAGTATTGGCTGCATCTGCAGTCGTTCTTATAATTACAATAGTTGTTCGTTACCATTGTTTGCTTTTTATTTTTTATATTGCCCGCCGGCCACGGCACGTGTTCACTATTCGCCGTTCACTATTCCGGGAACACATGAAATACTTTTATGTAGTAATGAAAAATGCAAGCCCATAAGACTTGCAGCGTACGCGCGTTCCATGCAATCTGACGGACGCCACTCCTGCCAGTTTGCGGTATCCTCTTATCCTAAGCACGGCCGTCATCGTGTCGCCACGATTCCGCGTTTGGTCGCTATTAAACTATATTTCCTGTACGTTACCTGAATACGAACGCATTCATAACACGTGTGTGTGTGTATTTGTGCGGCCGAAGTCGGTAAGCGCGACATGACTCGTCGATGCTAAACTCCATGTCTGTGACACTGGCTATGACTCAATAGCTCTCGTTAAACGGTCGTCAATGGACAACCAAAGTAATGCCAGTGAAAGTCAGTCTTCTGCGCTATCGTAAAACCGTAGAAAAATAATTGTACACATCTATTATATGTAAATATTATTTTCGTTTATACACGCCTAATTATTGCGGTGCACTGATCGCATGGCGTATAAAACCAACAGACCACGAATGTACACAAGTAAATACATAGTTAAAAAATTGCCCTGGTTTTATTTTCTATACATTCCAGCCAATAACCACCGTCAGTCTGAGGACAATTTCTAAACGTTAACCGCGATCATACTGTTACTAACGATTAACTCTCCTTTAAGCCGCTTTTCTACACACTCATAATTAACCGGCCAGCGTATAAGTCGAACATGGTATCGTCTTGTTTAGCGTCTGGTTATTTAGTGAACACCGCACGAAATTCTATACATGGTTTTTTTTTTATAAAGAAAAATGATTATAAATAAAAAAACACAGCCTACGTACAATAATATACGATTTCACGGAAACGACGTTTTGCTAGTGTTTACTCATATGTGTACAAAACACCGTGTAACCTGAGCCGAAAGTCTATTACGGGTGTGCATCAACAACATAACAGCGGCGGTTTAATCATTTTTATTTAAAAAATATTAAATGTTTTAACCGAAAGACTCGTGTCTTCCCGCGGTGAAACATCATCCGATGCTCTCGGTTTAACGTTTACGGTTGATTACACTGTTGGAGTCCGAGGCTTCTTCTGTTCTATATTATAGTCACCATCTGTGTGACGGCTGCGGAGGACTTTCACTTGAAAAATCGTAGTGCCCGAAGAAACCCTTTAAAACCGAACTCTGTGCACCCGCTGAAAGCCATGAGCGTTATTTCCCCTATTCGTGTATTCCACGGTTTCCCTTGCAGTTTGTTACATGTTCGTATTACACACCTGGTAATCATAATAACGATAACTCTCTACCTAACCCAAACTTTGAACACATTGTACATTAACTGTACATTACACGCTCTTACCACTGTAGGTGATAATTAATGTAGTTACATTACTACGTGATTGAATATTTTTTCGATGTCTGTTGCTGTGTATGCTGCCGACGAGATGAAATTGACGTTTTTTTCTTTTTGCCGCGGTGACCATTTTTTAATTGGTTATAATGAATAAGTATAATGAATTTTACATTTTTACGGATTATAATGAAATAATACAAATGTAATCGTGGTCAGCTGTAGACGAATGACGACCGGTCGTACACACGTCCATATTTTATGTAATATATTATTTCCAACGTACTCTTATTTTTATCTAGACTGGATTTCAAGACCGTAGTGTTTTACGTCGAATCACAGTCGTGTCCACGTTTTGGTCGTGACCGACGAACTTTATCGTATAATACAACCTTAGGAGCTAATCGACGGCCAATTGTTTAACGTTTCTTTATTTTTATCTCCCAAAGTCAATAAAGTGCCTCAGATATTTACATACCATTATGTATATATCTGCCACTTATTCAACTCGGTGAATTGATTAACATAAAATATTTCGCATTTAAAATCCAATAAAGTGGAAGTAAACGGTTCAATTTTCTTTAAGTAATATAAATGTCGCTGTAAACATTTTTTAGATGTAATTTAACAAACATTTCTGATAACTTAACTTTTCTACATTTATTAACATTACTTGTATAATGATTCAATATAGAATTACTATACAATATAGATGTGCGTGCATTCGATAAACCTTATAAAACTAGAGCTGACCCTAACAGTACCGTTAAAGTTCACTCGGATTACAGACGTCGTGCCTCAGACCTCCGGTATTACTCCTAAATCGATACACGAATTTATTATTGTTTTAAGCCGCGTAAAGAATTTTTGATAGCGTCTAAGAGTTGAATGACTTTGTGACCATACGAAGCAGAAAAAAACAACAACCGCATCACTTGATGTGTATTATCGTTATCATAAATATTAATGTACATATTACCTATGTGGAGGTGTTACTACAGGATTATTAGAAGAAATCGATTGCGGTCCGATATGGTGTCCGAGCCATAAACCGCAACTGCACCGCAGGGTTTGGTGGTAAATCCCATTTTAGACGATTATCGTCGTATTACACACACAGTCTTATTGATCATTCTTTAGGTTTTTTTAGTTTTTCGTTCCATAAACAAGAGGCGTGTGGCCGTTAATGGATCGGGTTTTGGAAAACGAGAGAGATGGACACACAGACAGTAATAATAATAATAATAATAATACTAACCAGTACTTATGATGAATGTTATACCACACGAACAAAGGGTACATTATGAGATGTTTCCCCGTGACATTATCTATGTGTGTAATAAGCTGCTGCGTTTTCCATTATCAGCCGACACCCTCCCGTCCGGTCTCGACGTTTGGTCTTATATAATTTACGTCATAATAAGCACTAAAGGAGACAATTCAATAGGTAACAGAAGAAAAGGAAACAAGCCAAGTATTTGATAGTCACATTTTTTAGCGCTCTTAATGTAATGTAACATTTCAAAGTTAAATCAACTTTTTGAAAATCGGATTATCTTAAACACCAAAACGAATTATTTAATGTGAATTTTAAATAATTTTTTATTAATATTTACTAGCCTGGACCTAGGCTATATACAATTTTCAATATTAGATCTAGTGTTCGAAAAATTATTTGAACTTAAAAAAACTAGTAAATAATACTAAAATATACTATTGTCACAAATTTTTTATAATCTTTTGGTTTACATGTATACATATCAATTTTTATTCACACTTATACATAATCAGTTAGAAAAGAAAATGGGGTGCAACAATGAGACATCAACGCCTCATTAATGTAATGTATTACGCTACAATATTTTTTTTTTTTTTTACGTGATTATTATCAAATTCTACCTCGTCATTGCAATATATGCATGCTCTATACGCTTTTACACAATGATATATTAATATGTCAGGTCGAATAAATCTTCTTCGCTTGGCTATCGCGACCCGTGTCCGATCGATAGTTCTCGGACACCAAGTGGACAAAAACAATAATAAGAGCTACGTGTAAATCGAATAATGATTATACAAAAAAAAAAAAAAAAAA